CCATAGGCCCTATAGTAGTTCTTTTCTAGAACAATTCCCACAAGCGAAAGGCATATAGACTCCCGGGCCCTTGATTTAGGTGCAGGACGAATAGCAAAGCCCAGTCGACAGGCTCGAAGTGGGCATACAAAGGTTCGCCATCGCCGATGTCATTCACATCCTGTCCAAGAGGGGAATGCAGAGAGTTAGCCGCAGTTTGCCACTCTACACCCTAAACCCTAAGCCCTAAAAGTCGATTGAATCACTGCTGTGACAAGGCCAAACGAGGGATGGATTAATATCATCCAGAACTTTGCAACGCATGCCGTGTTGCCCGCAGCGCTACTTGCATTTCGCAGGCTCCGATGGCCACCTTTAACTACATTACAGGGTCTAGGGTTTAGGGTTTAGGGTTTAGGGGTTTAGGGTTTAGGGGTTTAGGGTTTAGGGTTTAGGGTCTAGGGTTTAGGGTTTAGGGTTTCGCCCAGCCCCTAGATACCAACTAGGCCCACAACATCCTCCACTGCGAAGATATCGAGGTTGGCTTTGGCCGCAATGGATGCAGCGTCCTCGTCCTTCTTGGGCTTCGCCTGGCTATGGAATGAAGGGCAGAGCCTTGAAATCGAAAAGGCCTTATGCACTCCAGGGTTTAGGGTTTTACACAGTGGTTGATGATTATTCATGACAAGAGTGTGAATCATCCGTTACTGCACCTGCCCAGGTGATCATCATCACGGCCACCATCATCCTCGTTTTTGCTTCATCGTCATCAGCATCGTCTGTAGACCGGGAGTAGAAGGGCAATCACTCCAGAAGACCTGCTCATGCAGGGGTACGATCATCAAGGACAAGGCGTGTGTAACCTTCGCAAAGCCTAGGACGAAGGATACCACCTCGGGATCTATCTCGCGATGACGAGCCCTCTAGTTGCGGGCCCCTTGCAGGACAGCCTTCGGGGAGCGGCGTAGGTTGCAGGGATTAGATTTTAAAGGTTGCTGAGCATTTCAGAGCTGTGTGGGTCGTTGAAGTCCTGAGGACGTCAGGCCAGATCGCATTCATGGGTTCCTGGCTTTTAAAGGACTTCCATCTGACTTTAACTGCTTGTACACGTGCATGTGTAGCTTGAATTTCCTGACTCTGAACCCTAGCAAAACACTATATATATATATATATATATACATATATATATATATGTATGTATATAATACCCCTCCTCACCCTAATCAGCACCTATATCAGGACAGCGAAGTACCGATACCTCGAGACGAGCCAGCAACTTGGTTCCAACAACTGAAAGTATAACTCTGACAGGGACTCTCAGGGTGTACTGTTACAAATAATTCGATCCCCGTTCGGACTTGTTGGTATCTTCCCAAAACATTTTACATTCGCAGGGTAATGGGCAGTTTACCGCATTTTGTGGTGTTGGGGTTTTTCGGCGGTGGGAGTGGGGGGGGGGGGCAAGAAACTGAGGACAAGATGCTATCATGCATACACACCCCTCCTACACCGTGCACCCCAAACCCTAACGGCACTCCCCCCCTCCTCCCTTCCCCTCCCGACTACACCCGCATGAATACACCCCTACACAAGCCTTCCAGAGATTCTGCTTCGACTGGAAGTCCATGTGCTGCTTCTGCCAAGCCAAGTGCCTCTTTTCGGGCTTTCGCTTTAGGTTTTTGTTTGGGGCTTACAGACTCCTGGAATGTGCCACTGAAAACTTGTCATTTTGGCACGTCTTGAAGGGTGCTTGCGGGGCTCTATGACGGCGTTCGAGGGTGCTTTGGGCTTTCGGGTATGAATTTCAGAGAGCGGAAGGCCATACACCATAATGCATGCAATCCGAACCTCAACATTTCTTGTTTCCGCATCTCTAGGTCTCTAATCTCTGAAACCGGCATCCATGCATAGCTTTAGTTCCATCCTAACTCCCGATGTCACAAATCTGGTTACATACGTCTCCGGATCAGGTTGCTGTGTTGTCCCTGCGTGCTTCTGAAGCACTCAATCCGATGCTGCAGAAGGATCGCTCACACGGTCCCAAACGCATGCGAACACACAATAGGGGAACATAATCAGAACAGGGTTTGCGGGCATGCTAATTTACTAAATGTAGAACCCCAAGGAATGGGATTACTCATCATTGAGACCTCCAAATTGGCCTTGGTTAGATTAGGGCATAGAAACACCATTACTACTTACCCTAGCTTCTTTATTATGAGCTCTAAACCCTTAACCCTCAGTATGAGGTTTCGTGTGAGCTTAGAACTCAGTTTTTTTCAATTTGGGAGGCAGACCTAGGGCTGGAAGCTTGGAGCCAGGATGAAAACTAATCGAGTGAAGCGAAGACTATAGCGGCTACAGGTGACCAGAGATACTGTAGGGAATAGGCTACGGGGGACTAGATGCTATAGATCAAGGAACCCATCTTCGTAAGTCTTCAGGCCCCCACAGTCTGGTACTGTTTCTGCAGTAATGCGGGTTTCAGGCCCAGCGTCTTGAAAGTTTGCATTGGGCTCGGTTTAGGGTTTAGGGTTTGGGGTTTGGGCTTTAAAGGTTTGGGGCTTAGAGCTTTTAGGGTTTAGGACTTCCTGCGCCAGTCCCAACTGCAAAAAGACAGCAACATGCGAAACGTGGGAACCTCACACCCTGTGCCAGGAAGAATGTGAGAAACACCCCCGAGGTCCGCTGAAGCACCCTGGACCCTAAACCCTAAACCCCTAAACCCTGAACCCTAAACCCTAAACCCGTCAGCCCTAAACCCTAAACAGGACTCCCGCAGGCCCCACACTCCACCGGGTGCCGCCCAGCTGCTTCGTGGTGAAAGTCTGCGATGGCTGCGGATCTTCGATCAGGGTCGTGCGCTTGGCCTGGAGGTTTAGGGGGGTTTAGGGCATGCATCGCGATATAAGGATGCACGGACTGTGCTGTATGAAGCATGTGGACATTACCATCAACAGTTCAAACAACTACCACACCTATATCAAGACCAACATCAGCGTCATTAACACTCACCGCAGACATCAGTGTATGCACACCAGTGTTGTGATCGGCATCGACACCTTCTCGAAAAACACCACGCAGACACAGATGTCTCGTCACAACAGACATCACAACATTCCTCCGACGGATGGTGTGTTGGAGCATGTGCCCACCGCTAGTTGAACATCACTGACTTTAGCTATTGGGCAGTCAACAGCCAAGACTCCGTTTTCGAAATGAACCCGATTTCTTGACAGCTAACTGGAGGACCGTAGAATCTGAGAAAGTTCGTTCGACTGACTAATCTTTTGGTCTGCGCCACGTCCCTGTTGTTAATGCCATGTTGATGGTCCTAGTCGCTTTTGTCTTCGCATGTCACGGGGCTTTCGGAAAATAGGGGACCCCAATATAGTACCCCAACTAGTAGGATTCTTATTATAAGGACCCCAAAAGAAGGTACCTCTAACTTTCGGAAACTCCCATGTCCTACAGAACCAGGACCTTCCTCCGTCGGAGGGATGTGGGAGTTTTCGAAAATTAGGGGGTACCTTCTTTTGGGGTCCTTATAATAAGGATCCTACCATCTAGGGTACTTTCTTAGGGTCCCCTGTTTTCGGAACCCCCCATGTAACTTTATCACAGACAGCTCTTCACCTCAGAGTCCCTGAGCTTGCGCAATGTAGGAACCTTAAGAATTAGAATAGGGTTTTGGGGCCCAGTTTACTATAATTATCATAAGGAACCCCCCAAAAATGGTATAGGTAATTTGTTTGGGCCCCTCTATTATGGATGTACTGCTTTTGGCACTAGATCCTTGGGGAGTTCCTGCGTACTACGCGACACGTCCCTTGTGGAACCAAAGTGGTACCCGTCCGTCTGCTAGCCCGATGTTTCCGGGGTGTGCGTCAAAGGTCTTTTCAAGAACCCCGTGCCTCGACAATCCACTTCCGCAGATAGTCTCGGCTGGAATGGGCTTGGTCCCAGGCAAACCTCAGGATTCAGGGTCGAAAGCCGAACGACGACAAGTACCCTTGACCAGCAACCCTAAATCCAAACCCTAGACCGATCTAAAGCTAACAACTATGACAGACGAGATCCAAAGTACTTGGATGGGCCGAAGATCTCTTAAGTCCTTAAATTTAAAGAACGCTAAAACCCTATGGAGCCCTAGCAAGCAGAGCCCTTATAAAGCGCCGTACCGAGCCCAAATAGAATCGTATAGCAGATACCCTCATAACACTCCCACCGAACCGAATAGAATCAAAACTTTTGACAAACCCTGCAGAACCCTCACGCAATCGGTCTCCAAGTCTCCAGCCCCCAGAGAAGCCTTAACGGTGCCCAATAGTAGACGCTAACGTTATGCATACCAGCCCAATACAAAACGTTTTTTCTTTTTTACCCCCTCTATCTAGAACCCTAAACCCCCAAACCCCGAAATCACTATGTTATTCTAAGCCCCTTCTTAGAAAACCCTAAACCCTAAACCCGGAACACCCAGACCCCTGAACCCCCGGGCTAAGCCAGAGCGCTTGATGTCATCCCAGCCCTCCGACTTCTCCGGGAGGGAGAACCTGAGTTCCCGTGCGAAAGGAGTTAAGGCTTTAGGGTTTAGGGTTTGGGCTTTAAGGGTTTGGGGTTTAGCGAATTTAGGGCATTTCAGGGTTTAGGGTTGAGGGCTTAGGGTTTAGGGTTTACGGGTTCGGGCTTTAAGGGTTTACGGTCAAGGGTTTGGGCTCGAATTAATCATTAAGGGTGCTCTGGACTTTCTCTTTGTCTTCTGTTCGGTGCAGATTCAGGCTTGGACATGGGATGAGGGGCTTTGTGGTTTAAGGCTTCAGGCTTCTAGAAGGGTGTGTCTTTAAACCCTATTAAGCCTTTAAAGGTTCTAGAGTCAACTTGAGTCGCAACGGCACGTTAAGGGTTTAAGGGTTTCGGCTTTCGGGTTGCATTGCCAGGGCTCGGGAACGTTCTTTTGTCAAGCTGCTGAGGTTCCATGAAGCAGAAGCATGTCCCAAAGGGTCCGGTTTAGGGTTTAGGGTTCGGGGTTCAGGGTTGAGGGTGTCCAAGTACCAATATAGTGGCTACTTAGTACATATGTGGGCCCCCCAAAGTATTTACCTTACGGCTACTTGGAGCCGTTGTGGTGTGATGTCAGCAAGAACACGGCAAAGAGACACTTGCGGCCCTCAACCGTAAACCCTAAACCCTTACGCTGTTCGGCTTACTTTGGCTTAGGCTCTGACTCAGCCATCTGGCGTAGGCAAGGCCTGAAGGAGCCTTATGATTTCCCATAGGCCCCATAGTAGTTCCTCCTTGTGGTTTATGTTTAGGGTTCTATCAGGGAATCCCAAAAAGGAACTACTAGGGGGCCTTATGATTTGAGTAGGGCTATGTTCCAATGTTGCTGCACCGGGATTGTATATGGGGAGTCGTCTACTTCTAAACGGATTCCTATATTACACTAAAGCTTCAGAAACATAGCGAATGCCGCGCTGTTCTAGTGGGCTTCGCGAAATACTGCCATGCCGGGCTCCACGCTTGCAAACTTTAGATTGGTTCAGTGTTGAGGGTCATCAGGAATAAGCCGTGCTTGTCGGGTTGTTCACGTTGCGCGCCTGATGGGTGAGAGCAAAGCTCTCAGGTTTTCTGTCTTGAGCCTTTTCTGCGAACATGTCTCCTTTCCAGACGTCTTGAAGGCTTGATTGCCAACCCTGCAGCATTTGATTGTCGTCGTCGCCATCACTGTCCGTGTTGTTTGTCGCCGTGGCTATCTGTCCGACCGTCCTCATCTGAGTAGCAGTCGTTCTTGCTCGAAGGAGCACCTCTAAGATACTAACGACACTGCTGATGTCAACAACGATGGGGGAAGAGAGGACAGTTCTCCACAGGACTCCACAGCCCTAATTCGAATCTTGCCCAACACAGGAATGACGGCATCACTCCCTGGGCTTTGAAGTAACCAGGGAGAAAAAAGTATAGACTTTTATTTCATAATGGATCCTTTAAGGAACAAGTCCCCCAAAAAAGTATTAAAGTATGGTACTCCAAAGCCCAGCACTCCGAAGATCCCAGAAAAGTATCGATTGTTCAGGGTTTAGGGTTTAGAGTTTAGGGTCCCTAAACCCCAAACCCTAAACCTAAACCCTAAACCCTAGGGTTTAGGGTACCCCCAAAAGTGAATGGAGCCGAGGAGCTGCTGCAGGAACTTCCGCAGCGTGGTGGGGGCCAAGTCCGGAATACCCTGCCTGCAATCTCACCCCTAAGGTTCAAAGGACCCAATCATGATAGTAGTAACCTAGGTTAATATTTGAGAGAGTATATGATTATAAGGCCAAGGGACCCTATAATGATAGTAGTAACCTAGGTTAATATTTGAAAGAGTATGTGATTATAAGGTTTTTGGATGATAGTAGTAACCTAGGTTTTTATTTGAGAGAGTATATGATTATAAGGTTTTTGGACCCTTAGGGTCAAGCCAAATCCATGGCCTCCAACACCTAAAACCCTACCGCCCAACCCTCCGCCACGCAGACACCGCGACGCGTAGGCCTCCAACTGTGAGGGCGTGTGGGGTTGGGGAAACCCTACTGGATTGCGATTTGAAGGCTCCCCCCAGAAATCCTTGATGCCAAGGTTCCAGAAAAAAGCTGACATGAACAGCTTCATAAGATGCTATGACATCCCCAAACCTGTATGCAGCCTTCTAACCCAACATCTGTTACACAGGGGGTCTGGGTTTTCGAGCAGTATTGGTGTGTTGCTTCTGTTGGAGTGTTAGGGCTAGGGGTGTTCAGGATTTATAGGGCTTAGAGCTTGCGCAGGGGTTTACGATCATTGTCACCCTCAAACTGAGGCGATGACGGAACCCTATAGACTCTAAGCTACTCCTGCTTCTCAAAGGCAAGGCAAGGCTGGCGTCAAGACGAGACTCTTCAAGCTGCGTCCGTACAGGCTTCGCGCAGGTCTCATGGCTTTCAATGATCCTCTACATCACCGTAGAAGCCCAAATTCGCTGATGCTGACACACCGTTGCATCGCCCAGAATGCCTGTTGCGGAAGTACTTCTTCTTCTCCTGGCATATAGACTTATGAAGTCTGGGCTTGGGCAGTGCTTGCTCCAGTAGTTGTAGTTGTAGTAGTAGTAGTAGTAGTAGTAGTAGTAGTAGTCGTCCTCGTCCTCAACGTCGTCGTCGTCGTCGTCGTCGTCGTCGTCGTCGTCGTCGTCGCTGCAGCGGCAGCAGTAGGAGCTTGAGCAGATGGTGATGGTAGTCGTAATTCGTCGTCGTAGTAGTAGTAGTAGTAGTAGTAGTAGTAGGAGTAGTAGTAGTAGTAGTAGTAGTAGTAGCAGTAGTAGTTGCAGTAGCTGTTGTTGTTAGCAGCAGTAGTAGCGGTAGTGGTGCTAGTTAGCAAGGTAGCCGCCATCTCGACCGTCCAGATCAAGACCCCGAACCGAAAGTCCTAACGAGAAGTCGATTCCGACATCATAGGTGTTTGCCATCAGAGCTTGGAGTTTAAGGGTTCAGGGTGATTCCGACATCATAGGCTTTTGCCATCAGAGGTTCGAGTTTAGGGTTCAGGGTTAGACCAAACAGTGCCAGAGCAGAACTCCCAGGGGTTTTCAGATCCCTGGAGCCTCGTCGGTCAACTCCGCCTTTGGGGGCTCGTCTCCCAGCCCATCATCTTCCTTCTCCTCCTTGAAAAGTTGAGGGTTTAGGGTTTAGGGTTTAGGGTTCAGATGCTGTGCCAAAGGAGGGATACGAGGATGAGATGTGTTGAGATGAGACACGGGAGAGCAGAATATGTCTTCAGGGTTGGAAAGGAGGCGCATGACAAGCACGGACCAGGCAAGGCTGCGCATGACAGGTCCAAAATCAGATAGCAAAAGCCAAGAAGGGAATCACAAGATATGTCAATGCACAGTCGTTTGCATAATTAATACATTCCATAGCACCATGCGCAGTGCTGAATTGTGGCAGATATCTTCCTGCATATACACGTGCGACAATTGTACTGACACTCTGTGCTGTCAGCAACATCTCGTTTGCAAGACAAAGCTTGTACGCAACTCTACAACCCAACCCCTGACCCTGGATCCTAAACCTTAAACTAAACCGCAAATTAAACCCTAAACTATCTTACCAACAGCCCCTGCTGCCAGTAGCCGATCTCGGACTTCACAGACGAAAGCAACCTTTCCTACTCAGCTTCTATTGCATGCAATATAGGGGGCCTTAATAATTAGATTAGGGTTTTGGGGCCCAAAATACTGTAAGTATACTAAGGAAGACACACAATAGTATTGGTACTGATTTAGGCCCCTACATCAACCGCCTCCTGCAGAACTCCCCGGGTTCAACGTTCCTCAACAAGCGAAGGTCCACACGAGTACAGGGGGTTTAGGGTTTAGGGTTTAGGGCGCTTCTTGTCCGCCGCAACTGGCCCCAAGCTTGGTGGTATCGTAAACCCTAAACCCTATAATAGCCTATATAAACCCTAAACCTTAAAAACCCTTAACCTTATAAACCCTAAACCCTAAACAACTTAACTCGTCTTCTGCGGCGACTGGGGCGGCTGAATCCTTCTTGCCCTAAGACCTCTGGGCCAATCGAGGGTGTCCAAACTGTCACAACCTTAATACCCGAAAGCTCTACAAGCCAAGCCTACAATGCATAACTGAGACCCTACTGTAAGATTGGGGTATCATAAGATACACGTACAATAAGCAACCGCGTAATAGCATTGGTACTTTTTCGGCTATATTACCTCGATCTTCTTGCCCATGTGCGTTTGGCGCATAACCCTAAACCCCATAAACCCCAAGCCCTGAACCCTAAACCGTAGAAGCCCCAAGCCCGACACCCATAGCTGCAACTTGGTGGTTCAAGGCCTCCTCCTTGACATCCAGCTTTTCTTCTTTAACCTCCTCAAGGATCACATGTGGGACCGTAGGATTCAAGGCGTCAGGATTTAGGGTGGGTCCCACTTGGTTTAGGGCTTTAGGGTTTAGGGTTTAGGGTTCAGGGCTTCAGGGTTTAGCGCCCTATTTAGGCTTCAGGGCTTCAGGCATGGAGCTCAGGGATTTAGGGATTTCCGGATCTCGTGTGTTGTAGAGTAGCTGAACGAAGAGGGCTTCAAACTACACGGTGATTTGCAAGGCTCTACACTTATGAAGCCCTAAACTAGACCCTAAACGCTGAACGGTTAGGGTCTATGCATGGTTTTAGGATGCTGAAGGTCTCTGAGCCCTAGACCCACAGCCGGGACCCTGGCGTGTACATGAACTCCAAGCCTCGACATTCAGCTGTCCAGAGCTCTTTTAGGTGGCGTTTGAAACCAAACATGTGTCGGTGTACAATATTGAAATTGCTTGAGAATCGTGCTAAAAGCAACGATGCTATCTTAATAAAGAAAAAATGCACAGTTGCAGCTATCACCAAACTCTGCTTGAGCAGTCCAACCCAAAATGTCGCATTGCCTTGCTTCTGGGTTCAGTTAACGATGATCTCAGTCCCAGATGCAGTCTCCGTTGGGCATCTGTGGATTCTGTACTGGGACTCCCTGTGCTGGTACAAGGTTTCCAGATCGCAAGTTTAGGGTTTTCGGGTTTAGGGTAAGGATTTGGGATCTCAGAATTTCGCGCTTGGGGACTAATTTTTTTTGAGGAGGCAGGGCAACCCCTAAACCCTAAACCCAATTCCTCCAAGCCGACCCCAATGTCAGTGGCCTTGGGCAGCCTTTACAAACAGTGTAGGCATAGATGCTCTAAATGGCCATAATGGAGATACTAGAATAATGCGGTGTTCAGAATGCCATGGTAAGCTTGAAACCCTTTCTCCTCGTCTTTGGCTTCCATAGTTGCATCTTCACCGCCCTCTGCCTTCTTGGCCTGCGAGATACTCATGCAACCCCTTTACAACTCTTATAGAACCCCTTGGAACCGTTACTATAGAACCATCACATAGAACGCCATAAAAACCCGACCGAACCCTTGCAGAACGCTTACTACAAACAGCAGGCGATTTGAACAACTGAATCAAACATCAAAGCCCGTAGCAGCGATTAGATCAGTTCGCGTAGCACTGCAAGAGTCCGAAACCTGCAAACCCTTAAAACCTAAAGAGCCCGAAACCATGAAAGCCCAAAGCTTGAAAACCCCTAAACCATGTGTCAGGGCTTATAGGGTTTAGGGAAGAAGGTCAAAGCCCCGAGTTCAGGAATACGTCTTCAAGTTTAGAGGGATCTCTAACCAGGTTTCAAGTATAACATATATCCCTTAAGAGCCTGCAGTTTGTCTGGGCTTGCAGTGTAGGGCAAGCAAGGCCAGGGCAGCTGCTGAGGATACGGGTATCAGGCGTTATTGTCCAGGGTTAAGAATGTGAGCTACGGTTTAAGAGTCGTGCAGAATATCCCTGAGTTAATGTCTCTTCTACTAAGTAATAGTCGCGCACAGGAAATTAGCAGAACACACGTTCCCAACGCCAATCAGCAGGTTCACAGAATGGCGTGCATCCGTTGCCCTGAAGAGCACCAAAAACTGAGCATAATGTAACGCACTATCCACACTCTCCCAATGTATTCCAACATGGTCTCGGGTCTTTAAAAGGAACTTAGAGGACCAATTAAACCCGTGATCCAGACCCTCTTATAGCACCCTGGATACAGCACGTTCTGTTTTCTTGAAGGGCGGCCGGGGAATGGCCGGGGGCTGGCGGACTTTCTATAACATAGACATACTAGAGAGCATGCTCATGATTGCAGGCTCAGGCTGACTCAGACCACTGGGGTTCTAGAACCCAGCTTCTACCATTTTTATGATGCAGCTCCTTTATCACGTCAAGTTCGAGAGTTGCACGGCTCATAAATGTCATGGGCATCTACCTCACGGTGTGGGGATAAGGCATGGGGGGGGGGGCTGGGCGCAGCTTTCGTTTTCAATTCTCTCAGAAGCCTCTTCTTCCTTCTTTCGGGCTTCTTCCAGCTTCTTCCTCGGCTTCGGCTGCAAGGCACTCTCGCCGAGGAAGACTAGAAAAGAAGGCTAGATCCACAGCCCGAAACTTTGCTGGCTTACTATTTAGGTAGCTGGAGCTCTCGGGTTAAAGGGACAAAGGCGTCCGCTTCACCCTAAAGGCATACGGTTTAGGGTTTAGGGTTTAGGGTTTAGGGTTTAGGGTTTAGGGTATACCCAAACCAGAAAAGCAAGCCCTACAGCATGCACCGAGGCAGCCTGTACTCTCAACCACTGCCTCATCCCCAAGAAGCGGTTCAGGGTTTAGGGTTTAGGGTTTAGGGGCCTAAACCCCAACCTCAGGTGACTTTTCAACCTACTCAGACCTACTGCAAACCGTGAAGCCCCAAAACCACAATGCAGCCCTTAAACTGTGCAAATCTTAGCTCAAAGCCCTATATTTGGAGGGTCGTCTGTGCGAGGGTTTAAGGAACTTGTCGTAAGAGTGAGGTGCTCTTTCAGGGGTTCGAAATGTGATGCTGACAAACTTTGGTACACGCAGGCAAGCCCTGCTGAACCCCGACGAACCTACCGAAAGCCATGCTGGAGTGGGTGCCTCTTGGGGCAACGTGGGTTTGGGGATGTTGGGTTTATTCAAGTCCCATTGGCGTTCAGCGACGATGACGTTGACAATGATGGTCTAGACATCCGAAACCCTAAACAACGCCCTAAACCCTAAACCCGAAATCATAGAACCCCAAGTCCCTGAAACCTTAAAGCCCAAACCCCTTAACCCTGAACCCCTAAACCCATCAACCCTAAACCCTGAAACCCCTAAAACATAAACCCAAAACCCATCAACCCTAAACTCTAAACCCTAAACCCCAAAGCCCCTAAAGCCCTTAAGCCCTAAGCCCAGCGGGCCTCCTCTGCTCCTCGGCTTTCTTCCTCAGCTCCTTCCCCATTAGGACTTGGGGGCTTAGGGCTTAGGGCTTAGGGTTTAGGGTTTAGGGTTTAGGGTTTAGGGCTTAGGGTTTAGGGTTTAGGGTTTAGGGTTTAGGGTTGAGGGCTTAGAGGGCTTAGAAGCACTTAGAGGGTTTGAAGGGTTTCAGGACTTTGGGTCTTTAGGGTTTGTTTTAGGGTTTAGGGGGTTTAGGGTTCAAGGTTTAGGGTTTAGGGGTTTAGGGGTTTAGGGTTTAGGGCTCAAGGTTCTTGCAGGTTCATGGTTGGATATCAGTAGGGTAAAACTATGTATGTAGTCATAGCCTATAGTGACAGACTTATAACACCACTTGTAACTACCCCTGAACCTCCAAGAACCTAAACCCTAAACCCTAAACCCTAAACGTTTAGGGCTATAGGGCTATGGGTTTAGGCCCATCCTTCAGACCGGATAGGCCTGAGAGCTGAGAGGCCTTTGGTTCAGGGGGACGGTTAAGGATTTAGGGTTTAGGGTTTAGGGTTTAGGGTTTAGGGTTTAGGGGTGATGAACCTACCCAGCAAAGGCCGTTCCAAAGGAAGCCCCGCATGCCGGGGACGACATCCGAGCACCTAGACCTCAAGGGTTTTTATGGCCCCAAACCCTAAACCCTGAACCCGAAAACCCTAATTTCTAAACCCTAAACCCTGAACCCTAAAACCCTAAACCCTAAACCCCAAACACTGAACCCTAAAACCCTAAACCCTGAACCCTAAAAGCCTAAGCCCTAAACCTTAAACCCTAAAGCCCTAAACCCTAAGGGGCCCTGAGGTGGGCTTTCGGGTTTAGGGAACCCTCGCGTTGCGGTCCAGGGGGTGTTGGGGGTTTAGGGAACCCTAAATGCCTAAGCCATCAACTGTTCCGGCTCTGAATCTTGACCTTGCTTCCCGAATAGCTTGGCAAGTGGAGGCTCTCTCACAACGTTTTGGGTAGGGTTTACGGTTTAGGGTTTAGGGTTTAGGGTTTAGGGTTTAGGTGCAAGAAGGTTTGCCTTGGTTGTGGAAGGGTACTGGCGTTATCGGTTACCTTATGTTGCAAGCACCTGTGGTGTCGGGACTTGTTCGCAGATGCAGCCGACACCAAACACGCCAAGCCAAGCCAAGACATTGCAAACACAGGACTTGTAAAATCAACGTGCAAGCTGCACCAGCATAGTAGAACCCTCCAACATCAAGGCATGTCTAAACACGCAAATGAATATAGATAGATGTTAACATGTATGTATGTATGTGTCTGTGCCTGTCTAACGTGTGGATACAGTAACTACCTGGTACATGTAAGTCTCATAGATACCATGCTGCATTGTTACATGGGGTTCAGGGTTTAGGGTTCAGGGTTCATGCTTGTACACTCCCTCCAGATGAGCTATATATGAGAAGGAAAGCTCAAGGGCACGACCTAGCGATGCTGAGCCCAAACGCCGCGCATATTCAACCTACTCTAACTCTAACATGACACCCAGACCACGGCTGGACCATGCTTATTTCTCTAGAAATGGGAACCTCCTCCAGAGTCTCAGACAAAGCCCTCCCCTTCTTAGACTCTTCACTGCATCTGCTGAGTCGGCTAAGACAGCCAGTCGTCCGGTGAAGTTAAGATATCCCAAGCCATAAGAATGAGAAGTGCACCTGTTGAGTATAGAGGCCTGTATAATTAGAAGAGAGCTCTGGACCTAAATAATGACCAATACTATTTGGGGGTTCCTTATTATCATTATAGTATGTCCACCCAAAAGCCATATTCGAATTATTCAGGACCCTACATTATGCCATACAACCTAAACCCCGAACTGAACCCTAAACTTTTAAACCCCTAAACCCCTAACCCCTAAACCCTAAACCCTAAACCCCAATGCTGAACTTACTGTCCAGCTGTGCGTCCTGGAGCTCACGTGCTCGCTGGCTGGCTGCTTTCTTCGCTTTCCATTCTGCATCCACCTCTACTAATGTAGGGGCCTTAATAATTAGAATAGGGTTTGGGCTCCTTTATAGTATAGTTCCCATAAGGAACCCCCAGGAATAATATAGGTAATTATTGAGGCTTCTGTATTTTAGGCCTCGTGTCTGGCCTTAGTAATTAGAATAGGGTTTTGGAGGTTCCTTATTATACTCATAGTATTATGGGCCCCAAACCCTCTTCTGATTATCAAAGCCCCCTATATTAGGCTCGGGTTGGGCTGGGGGTCTAGAGTTCAGGGTTTGGGCTTTAGGAGGTTCGGGTAGAGTCGGGTAGAGGTTTACGAGTTAGAAAACGCCCCCAAAGCTCGGAAAGCCCAAATCCCCACAAGGGCCTAAAACCTGAACGGGCACCTGGGGCTGGCTTTAGTGGTTTAGGGTTTAGGGTTTTTCGGTTGTTGGCAGATAGTGGGAATTCAAGCTACGGCGGGGCTTCTGAGGGTGGGGCCGCCGTAGGAGTTTCTATGGAGGCGTTAAGAACTAGAATAGGGTTTTGGGCTCCTTCATAGTATAATTACTATCAGGAACCCCCAAACTAATATAGGTAGTTATTTAGGCCCCTAAATATTGCACCGGATCGTGTTCTGTCTCGTTCCCCTGTGGCTGCAGTCCGGCGAAACTACTGCTGCTCCAGATTCGAACAAGTCTGCGATCTCAACTTTCTCTGGCAGCTCCGAAACGTCCTTGCGATCGCAAAAAACCCCAAACCCTAAAAGCAAGTCGGCATCTTCCTTGAACTTCCCGTGGATTCTTATGTTATCCGCTGACTGGCTCCACAGGCTCCTCCCAAAATACAACCCGATTCTGTACATGGCTACAAGTAGCTCCAAGGCTAAACAAACAAAACAGATTCCACAGAATAGCCTCTGCCCCCCTAAACCCTAAACCCTAAACGTCTACACCCTAAACATCTACACCCTAAACCCTATAGACCCTAAACCCTAAACATCTTGAAAACCCTGACACCAGACCCGCCTTCGACTGCTTCTCTGCCAGAATGCGGTTCCACGTCTTCTGCTTGAACTCCTTGCAGAAGGGCCCGGGGCCGGCGTGTCTCTTTTCAAAAGCTTCAAGACAGAAGCTCCCCTATATTGTAGGGGCCTTCATAATTAGAATAGGGTTTTGGGGCCCATTATACTATAATTGTAAGAAGGAACGCCAAAAAATACTATAGGCAATTCTTCAGGCCACTATATTATTCCCTATAAGGAACGCCAAGTATCAAGAATTAGCAACATCTTCAGCACTCACTATCGCTATCACTCTCACCACACCAGTGACACCACCAACACAAACAGGATAAGTGAGTGTGTGGCAGAATAGGGCCCGCAAGAACCACTTCTTGAGGATGACACGGAGCCGCCATGGTTTCTGGCGAACACTGGTTAAAGATGCTTTCCTGCGTTGGCGATCGGGAGCAGACGTTGATTTAGAGGGGCCTAATCCGAAAGCATGGGTTGATGTATCAACTTTCAGCTGCGGCGGTCAGCTATGCCACCAAGCTGATCAAGCAACAAGTTGCAGATGCCAAAAATGGATTTCTTGGCAGAATCATTAGTGAAGGGCCGCTTTCAGTATCCTCGATACTTCAAAGGGCTCGTCGGGCAGGTCTTGGCCGTAACGCCAGGAGACCGGTGAGCCGCAGTCTCCCTATGCTCCTCGACCCCGACAGTGAGACAACGGCTGCAACTCGAGAAGACAGAGATACAGTATGGCTCAAACACTTTGGACTGCAAGAGCAAGGGGTCGTGATGTCTGTTCAGGACTTTCTGGAAGACGTGACCCGGTGCAAACGTTGGAGAGGACATCATATGGACTTCGGAGCAGCTCCCAAGCCTGAAGGATGTGACTGACAGTCTACGTTTGACCAAGAAAGGAAAGGCCCCGGGCATTGACTGCATACCGAGTGATGTGTTGAAGGTCTGTCCGGCGGACTTCGCGAAGTTGTTACATCCTCTCTTCGTCAAGTCTTTGATCAGTGGATCACAGCCTGCGCAGTTTCGAGGAGGAATTCTGTACGAGGCTTACAAACGTGCTGGCCCACAGTCTCAGGCAGCCAGTCATCGAAGCCTCTTCGTCTCGAACCACATTGCGAAGACCTTCCACAAAACGATGAGGCGCAAGGTTCAGGAGCATGTACACCATGCCCTACATCCCATGCATTTTGGGTCGAGACAGGCTGCCCCGGTCAGTTTCCCAGCGTTGTACATCATCGAGCATCTACGTCGATGTCGGAAGCTGAAAAGAAGCGCGTCTGTTCTGTTCGCGGCCGATACCGCTGCCACCACCACCACCACCACCACCACCACCACCACCACCACCACCACCACCACCACCGTCACTACTAATTACCACACCACCAGCATCAGAACCACCTCGAGCAAAACATATCCTGGTTGGAGAAGAATCTACCAAGTATGCTCACCCTGTTCTGCATATGCTGCTACTTGCTATGATGTCATACTACTGTTACGAGTTCCTCCTGTGCAGACACTTGCACAACCGCCCTCTTTGACCTGAAAATCATCACTATTATGACTATTGCTACTACTATCACTTACAATGGCTACGGAGACCGTGGAATCTTCGGCTACTATTATCACTGTTTTTCACTATTACTAATGTTATGACGATGATGACGACTACCTGTATTGCAGCTACTACAACTATCATTACTAAGGTTACTATGATTACTATTACTATTGCAATTATTACTAGTATTAGGATTATTATTATTATTATACGATTGTGACTATTATTACTCCAAACCCCTGCGAGGCCTCGCTTGGCTCACCCATGACCACAAGGGCCTGGGAGGGGAGCTGCATGTTTCTCCGAGCTGAAGGTTTGAGCTTTTGCTAGGGTCTAGCAGGGTTCAGGGTTTAGGGTTTGCTGGCGTAAATGGCTCCGACTTTGAAGGCATTGCCTCCTTTCTAGATTTCATGCTGGGCCTTCTAGGTTTGCGGACTCTCTGGACCATACCTTTGTAGACCTAGAGTATGATGAACGGCAGGACGTAGTACCGAAGGAGAACCGAGCAGCAATAAAGTGCGGGGCTCGTCGACCTCAACGACGAAGACAACTCGACCAACAAGGCAATAACGACGACGACGACGGGCAGGATAGGGGTTCGACGACGAAAACTGTAGGGGGCTTAACAATCAGAATAGGGTTTTGGGGGCCCTTTATACTACAGTGATGATAAGGAACCCCCAAGATAGTCTAGGTATTTGTTTAGGCTTCGATATTCACCACGACCCAGTCGCCCGGCTGCACTGTGGGAACTACTGAAACACCACGGAGTCTACATCGTGCAAAGTCATCAACTCAACTACATCCGAAGCCGAAGCCCTGAACCCTAAACCCTAAACCCTAAACCCTAAACCCTAAACCCTAAGCCCTAAGCCCTAAGGCCTAAGCCCCAAACCCCTAACCTTCAGCCATGACCCATGACAGTAAGTCTGCCCGGTTGAGGCTTTACGGCTCATCTTAGATGGTCAGAAAGCCCCGAGGCTTCAGTATCCAGACCTTCTTCCATGATCCCTTGATTAAGGTATATTCCTTCTAACTACGGGATTTGGGAAGGTCTTCCCTAAACCCTAAACCCTAAGCCCTAAACCCTAAGCCCTAAGCCCTAAACCCTAAACCCTAAGCCCTAAACCCTAGGTACCCTCAGCCGCCGGCTGTCTTCTTGAAGTGGGGGCTGTTGTAGCGCTGAAGGATCTCCATGCGCTCCTGCCGCTTTAGGCATCGAGGCCAGGAGACGGGCCATCATAGGCTTAGGAGTTTTAGGGTTTAGGGTTTAGGGTTGAGGGTGCTTGGGTTTAGGGTTTAGGGTTTAGGGGTTTAGGGTTTAGGGTTTAGGGGTTTAGGGTTTAGGGCTTAGGAGTTTTAGGGTTTAGGATGTCGGGTCTCGGCCTTTAGGCATTTAAGATTACGGCTTTAAGGATTTAAGGTTTACCTATATATATATATATAGTCTCCATTGTAGTTCCCTTTTTCGGTTTAATTTAACCAGTTGTATACTTAGGATCCTACAAGGTAAACCCCAAAAAGAACTGCAATGGAGACCATAGGCAGGCCGACACACTAAACCTTCAGATGTCCTGCGTAGGCTGACATCCCGATCCGGTAGAGAATGCTTCTGAAATGCCGGTGTTGCTTCACCGCAGCGAGAAAAGAGCGCGGGAGCGGGCTTAAACATCATTACGCAGGGAATAATCTCTAAACTTTAGGTTTTAGGGTTTAGGGTTTAGGGTTTCCCAATCATCCCTGAAGTATGAAGCCTAAATTGAGTTCGATTTGCATGCTCTACTCGTTGTCAAGTCGCATCGCGCGTGGGGCTCCAAGCCCATACGGAACAGTAGCTGAACCCAAACCCGAGAACCCAAGAAACCCAAACCTTAAGGTAATACATAGGGTTGAGGGTTTAGTGACATAGAGGTCGGAAGAACTACATAGTAAAGCTTTGCTCGGTTAACCACTTATATGCTCAGGATTCCATTACAAACACATCGTAGAGAAGACAGGTAAACATGCTCTGGGGCTAGGGTTTAGGGTTTAGGGTTTAGGGTAGGTTTGGCGAAGCATACCTTGAAGATCAGACCTCCCAAAATGTACGAAAACTGCAACAGCAACAGACTCCTGGGGAAGGTTCATGGGGACTTGTGTACCATCAAGGGTTGCTTATTTTGACCCCGTAAATCACGGATAGTACTATTTGGGGCCGAGTCAGCCTAGTTTAGGGATCCTTTCCAAACTATAATATGCATCCCTGTCATTAGGGTCGCCTTTGGGATCCCTCTCATCAGGGTGCCGTACTACACTGGGGACCTAA